CATAGCCCAGTAGCCTACTCTTTAGATATCTGGGAGCCCTAGAAAAAGTTCAGTGGCCGGCCGGTGGTTTTGTCGTAGAAGTTCAGGGGCCCGGCGGGTCGGGTTTAGCATGACTTGCTCTGGTAAAGGCCAAAGTCCCAGAACTGCTCAGTCGAATTCTGCCCCTTCCCAGAATGAGAGACTTTCTTGTAATTATTTGTGTGGGACGTCGTCTATTCCCGTTTGCCGTCCAAAAGAGTCTCTGGATTTTACGACGGCATTGCTTTTGACACCTGCGCATCTTAAAATAAGTCAAGAAGCCAACCCCCTATTTAGTGAATATGGACCTGTTTAAAACCTCTATAAGATCCGAACATTAAAACAACACATTAATCACCTTGAACTACCCCACAGGGAGCCTTTACGTGGACCTCCCAAATACCCACAATAATAGTCCATAGCCTACATACCCACCATTTGCGGGGTTGAAGGTTATCAATAAGGGTAGTTGGGAGGTCTATTTACATCGTAGGATTCTCATCTTTGGTCTGCCCTTGCATTTCTTTTGCAGTTGGTTCTGGGGATGTCCTAGGTCCCCTGAAATCTGCAACCAGTCTTCGAAGTCAAGGCGAATTTTCCGCTTTGTGATGGCTTTGCGCACGCTGGTGCAGTCCATCTTCCATACGCTGAAGGCCCTACGGTTTCGGGTCTGGGGTTTAGGAGTCCACCCTTTAACCCCAAACCCACAGTCCATGCGCTGAAGGCCCTGGTATGGGCTTTGCTGCTCTTACTGCTGATTGTGCACCTCGGGCATTGTTGTATTGTCCTTCCTGTGAAGACGGTTGCTGTAAGGAGCAAAGTCATAGCAACAATAACTCAGCCGACGAACTGCAGCGATAATGGGCGGCGTTGATCCTTAGAATTTCGCCTTTCTTGCAGTGAGGTCAGAAAGGCCTTAGTTGCGGTTCAGGGGTTTCTAGTAGCTTTCACGAAGCGATATCCTTGCAGCACGTGTTCTGTCAGGAGCATGTTCGGTACGTGACCGGAATTTTCAAAGGGCGTGTGTACCAGGAGTTTTGTTCGACAAATAGCAAAACATGGAGATTGGTTCGAGAACTTTTCGTCATTCGTCCAGGAACTTTAGCAGGTAATAGGTCTCCGAAGACTCTATTCTGTTCAAGCTTATTTTTTAAAGCGCGCTGAGGTATGTGTTTGCCGTGATCTTCACGCAAGCAGTTAGCGACTACAGAGTGGACACATGGCTGGAATAGGGATGATGGTTTAGTGTTTAGGGTGTGGGGTTTTGGGTTTATAGAGTTTGGGGGTTAGGGTTTATTGGGTTTTAGGGTTTAGGGTTTATAGGGTTTAGGCATGTTAAGGCTTTATAGAGTTTAGGGTTTAGGGTTTGTAGAGTTTAGGGTTTAGGCAGAAGTAGGTCCTGTCAAATATGCCCCCTCCAACTAGTGCACCCTTTATTCGGGTAGATTTTCAGTGGGCCCTAGATAGGACAGACTCTGGGGGGAGACCCCAGACCCGGAACTCTAGACCCCAAACTCTAAACCATGTATATATACATATATATATATAGTATTATACATATATCTATTAAAGCCCACCCCACTGTTCTGTTATAATTCTGAAGATTCCCTTCTAGTCCTCCTTCTTAGGAAAATCTGGAATTCTGTCCTATCCGGGATCCCAAGGGACCTATCCAATTCATAGGAGTCTTCCACAAAATAAGCACGAGGTATGTGTGTTGTTTTCGCAAAGCTCCTCATATGCCGACATCTTCTGCCAAAGACAGAAAAAGGATGCAAGGTGGCATCGTCCGTCCCTCATTACAATTGTGCAGCCCTTCCCTTTCCCAACCCTAACCCTAGGGATCCAAATAGCCCAATGTAAGTAATATTTACAGACTTCAGGGCCCAATGTAGGCATTATTTGTATACTTGGATCCCTTGGGGGAGATAATAAACCCTAGACCCTAAACCCGAAGCCCTGAATTCTAAGCCCTAAACGCAAAACCCAGCCCGAATGAATACTAAGATGATGGTCTGGGGTTCATCTTTAGGGTTTGGGGGTTTAGGGTTTCGGTTTTATTTAGGTCTTACCTAGATCCTCCGACAACATGTTTATTTCCGTGTGCTTAGATTTCTGTTCGTGACAACATGTTTCAGGAAAAGCGTGTGGAACGTAAATTTCCTTTCGTGATGTTGATGAGGCCCGTAGTGCTGGGAATCTGAACGCATCTAACACGTGAGATCATAGGAAAATAAGGTGAACTCATATTCTTGGAATGGCTGACCCATGATATACCCAATCCAACCCCAAACCTACCTTGACGCCTGGCGCATCACAAAGCTGCACTTCCTTGGATACCTGGATGCCGGGTGCTTGGCTTTTTCTCTCTAGCCGAACTCACGTGCCCACTGCTTCTGGTACAACAATAGGGCGATACGCATTGTTCGGATGGCTGCTGTCACGGTAGATTGTCTGCGAGAAATCCTTGCAACTTTGCCAATAAAGTCTTCATCTTGCCAGCAGGCCATACCTAAGCTACTTTGGGCATGTGGGCACGAAGACTTGATTCTTTATTGGGCGGTTCTAGGTTTGGAAGATTAAAAGAAAGAAAGGCTTTAGAATTTCAATTTAAGGGTCATCTTGGATTCCAGATCATTGGGAGCTCTTTGTCAATCTGCAGCTGGATATCTCGCCTTGTAGTCTATGAAGTAAAAGCTTTAGGGTCCCCCAAGTCCACATTCACAATTCTTGCCTAGCAACTGGATGTGCAATTGCATGTGAATCTTCGGCTTCTGCTTGAAAAGGCACCAGCGCCGTTGATGCGTAAAAAAGGCTAGTGCCCCAAGTCCCTCCTTAGCTTGACAAAGGATGTACATGAGAAGTAGCTTATATCATAGTTGGAGATGCCACATAGTAATATGCATGAAAAGCGCCATCATGGACCATCCATGCTTCGCTATGACCTTTGCATTGTTGAGGGGGATCCACATAGCATGATCTTGTAAGCCTCGGAAGAAGGCGTTCGTGCTCTCGAAAGTCCACCGGAGGAGTTCATACAGGTCTTTGTCGGCAGCAGCCTTGTCTATAGCCCAAAATCACAAAATCAGGCCACTAGTTTGTGAACCTTCTTTACAGCAAAAAAATCCTAAAACTATTTCAAAAAACCCACAACATCAGCAAAGCATCAAGTCTTTCATTGCCCCCAGGCTGGCTCAGGAAGTCGCCCAGCCACGAACAAAGCAATACCGTGTCGAATCCCTTCCCAGCACCCATAGGAAAATTCTGCAACCTTAGGGGAAGAAGAAAATATCCGAATCCAATACTGGATTGATTTCGCTTACATCTGTTATAGCTACGAACCCCCCTAAAAAACAGGAAGCCCTTGCCCCAAGTTTTGCTCAGGCCGGAAACGTCTTCATCTTGAATTTCAAAAGGCTGAAGCCATCGAGGCTGGACGATTTTCCATGATCCCGGCACCACTGCACAAATTGCGCGTACAAGAAATCTAGCTTATCCTGCGTAGATCTGCCTGGGACAACATTCAGCCTTGCCAATAAGATGACTGCTGAACTTGCCATGCCAGATCCATAGCCTTGAATAGCAAAAGTATGGGCAGGGTCGGTTCGGATTCGCCAGGGGTCTGCAGCACCCGGGATCCGTCTCAAGGGGCTGACTTGATCTTTCCAAGGTTCTTCGGCAGGGTCCTCCCTAGACCACGTACGTACCGGCGATGAGGATGAACAATCATACCAGTCCTGTCAACACACACTAATCATAACATCTTCCTAAACATTTATGCCAAAGTACATTGGTATACCCTCAAATAGAATCTTGTTGCATGAAGGCCTCTTGCTCGCACATGTGGCAAATCCGAGTTGAAGAGAACCCCGTCCACAAACAGAAGGCTTTGCGAAGCCAGACCCAGTCTCCTTTGCAACCGAGCCATGCCATTCGAAAGTGATGTTTTTGGCCGTCATGGACAACCTTAGAGCAATAGCGGCATTACATACTGGTAGTTAGCAGCAAAATTAGGGTCCCATTTTGATATCCCCAAATATTGCACCCCGTACTTTATCCGTAACCAATGGGCCCATAAGTCTGAGAACAACTCATATATACTTACTGCATAGAGGGCACATCCAAACCATTGTGGAAAAGCGAAGCACAGTCATCAGCAAGAGTTTCCAGTAACCGGAAAATCGTGGTGTCACCATTATAGCAACGAGCAGGTATCAGGGTGAAGAGAAGCCGCGAACAGAAGGAATGCCTTGAATCTCCAAAGCCATCTAAGATGCGATGAAAGGTTGCTCCCTTAAAGTGTGTCTCAAACCAAAACAAATATAGTGCTGCTCCTGGCTAGACACCCGCTCTCATTGAGCCTCTGCCTCCCAAAGTGACTGAACAGCCCCTGGAAGCTGAGAATCATCACAGGTTGTTTCCCGCGGCCTCTGCCCTCGTCGCCATGCACAAAGAAAGGCAAGGTGCATTCCCTATCCAGATTCTGCTCGAAAGTTGGGTGGGAAGGGTCCACCTTTTCATAGAAGTCCCAGAATTCTTTCAAGTCGTGCTTCCACTTGCCAATTTGGGAGATGTGGTTCCCCTGTAAAAGTAGAGACCCTCCCTGCTCCTGCATGATGTAGTGCACCCAGCTGGACATTGGTATCACAGGCCAAGGGATGTTCAGCAGCTTTCGCGTTCGGGCATGCCGGATGCTGATGATTGTATGCTTGATATCCACTTGTAGCGTAAATCGAGGACTCTTCAGCAGTCGGTGCACATTTCTGCAAATGTTTCCTTCGGAAGAGTTTGCACATTTGGCTAGCTTTGCCAAGATAGGGTCGCGATGCCCTGTCAGGGGGCAGAGTAACATGAAAAAAAACAAGCCAACTCAAACCTTCGAAGCTTACAATGCTTTGTACTACATGCTGAGGCCTCGCTTCTGAAATTTCTTGTTGGCTTTCCAGGCTAGACGACATGTTCGCGCAGCCGAGTCAGCCTAGTCTAAGTTTGAAGGATTGCTCCGATGAGGGTTTAGAGGGATTATATAGGGTGTGTACAGGCGTAAAGGGCTGTATATATATAAGGGTGTATACGGGGTTTATGAGGGTTAATAAGGTTTGTGCGGGCTTATAGGGTTTATAATAGGAACCTGTAATGATTTCGTCAAAAGGTCCAATCCTTAATTGCATTGATCCTGAAACTTGATTCCTCCCTTCCAGTTCCTGAAGCATGAATATGCTATGAGAATATGCAAACACCAGCCTACAACTTGTCCATAATAGGTGCACTTATGGGGAGGATGCCGAATTGTATACATCTAAACAACCGCGAGTACATGGTTCACAGATACCGATATAACTTTAACATAGCCCTTTCCACATAAGAAGTATTCCCAATTCAGAAGTAAAGGGACCCCAGATGACAACCCCGCAAGGAGCTCGTCAACCAATCCGTCAGAAGATTCGCTCTCATCAGGACCTCGGCGGGCTACAATTAGGAGGGGAAGGGCTTCACTGGGCTGAGCAGTACCGACTTAGTACAATTACATGAAATTATAAGGTCCGCACTGGCATCGAAACATTCTACATCATGACCTGCACAAAGAATGTGAGTGTAAGGTAGCGATCCTATTCGTGTGATTGCCAGAGCACATGCACAAGCATGAGAAGGGCAACTGTTTTTTTGCACAGGCGCTGACCCCATGATGCTCGAACAGGTTTTGCAATCGGAGTTTGCGCGCGGTGAAAACAGCACGCATACAAACCGAACTAAGTCCACAGCTATTGTGGAAGCAGTAAATAGAATCATCAGCCGCCAGCAAGGAAGCCAGCAACAGCAGCATCAAGAGCTTCTCTTGCGCTTGCCCCCTGATTTCGGGTTGGCTTTAGGGGAGGCCTTTGCCTTTCCCTTTCCCTTTGGCTTGGCTTTAGCCTTTGCTGCCCCAGCAGCTGGGGCACCACCACTCTTGGCGACACTCCTTAGAAGGTCAAGTTGGCGCTGGGTAAGTAGATGGGTTGGACATGTGCATGACTCAAAGTATATATAGAGAGTCTTCGCACGAACCACGAAGTTGTTGAGGGCTAGGTCCGACTTCGTGCACTCGATGTAGACATTGAGGGCTTCCTTCTTGAGCCTAGCACAACAACAGAAGAACATCTACAACTTTCAAGCGTCGAAAGCTTGTGGCTGCAGGACATGCCGTCCTGCCTCTGGATGTCCGCCTCGGTGGAGGCTGTGGCCGTAGAGGCCTGCAATTTGATAAGCTGCTTGTAGTGCTCATTCATCTCCTTCAGGCACTCGCCCACATTGTTCCCAAGCCTTGCAGAGACTAAGCTAGGCATTAATCTTTTGGTGTAAAAAATTGGACATCATTAAATTGGGGCGAGACACTCTACAGCTTTCCCAGATGGGTGGCTCCCACCCCGTGACTTCGTGAGCTTCTCCTCACATTTGACCATTTAAAGACATACCAATACATCAAACCAATAAATGACTGGATACCTTCTCTTGGGGCCCCTCTCTTTTAGCAACTATTATACCCTTCCCATAGAAATTCTAGAACAACCAGCCCTGAAACCTCTGGTGGTTGCATGACAACTTGATGGGACAAAGCTTGCAGAATCATTGTACGTGCACAAACTGTATGAGGCCTCTCCTGGGTAGCTTCCGCATTGTCGATCTTCTTCCCTAGAACAGCGATGTAGGATGGCAGCAGCGAGAGCGGGGACGTATTCTGTTGCAAGGAAGGAAAGCATAGCCTGGGATGGTTGGTGTGGAGACTCTACAGACTTGCGCGGAGTAAGCCGACAGTTGACAAGTGCACTCAGTAATCCAAGCATCTTGAAAGACGCACCAGCCTGCGCAGCAGCCTGAGCATCGTTGGCATGCTCCTTTGAAACATCCTGATCGAAGAGGCCCTCGTTCTCAGGGTCCAATAGAGCACAGTCTGGGTCCTAAGAATTCCATGTGGGGAACAAGGAGCCAAGGATAAAACAGAGGTAGCAAGCTCTTGACACATGTAAATGTAGCAAAGGCTCAGCCATGCTGAAGGAGCTGGAGAAACCAATCCTGCTCCCGCTTTCACGTGTCTTCGACCACTCGAAATCGAGAGGGATGTCAGCCTCCTCGGCTCCGTGTATCTTCGAAACCCTGACCAACCCTAGCGGTCTGGCCCACTCAAAGGCATGGTCGGCCATTGACCTTGCGCAGCAAGCAAGAACACCGGCAACAACTGGGGTGAATCAGACTGGGGAAAGGGTGACAGTTTATTTGCTGCTGAAGACCTCGTGTAGTGCCTCTCCTTCATCAATCGCTCCTTCGTAACATATCCACCAGCTTCCTTGGTCTGCTTCTTCTGCTCATGCCACCGCTCAAGGGCCCCTTCAACTTTCTCGAAAGAGCCGTGCTGAAGGAGAAGTTGGCGCAGTTTTTCTCCTTAGTTACATCATTCGTATTGTCAAACAGCAGCTCTTCGTATGGACAATTAGGGCCACATTGTGCTAGGTAGAACCATATTTTTCTCATTGGGGGCTATTTTTTGGAGGATTTAGCTATTATACATATAATGCCTAGGCACGCCCGTCATTTGTCTTGCCCATGTCCATAACCCGGGGGCTGCACTTCAGCTCACCTTTGGCATTCGGAGTAAAGAATCGTCGCACCCTTGGATCAGATGTTGCCAACTTGTTTCAAAATCATTTTGAGAAAATGCAAGCATGCTTTAGCTGAGCGGGCAACCTCCAGTATCCTTCGGGCTTGGGGGCAGTCGCTGACTTCTTTGGGGCAAGCTTCTCACGGGGCCCAAACAATTGCCTCTTGATATTGGGGCTGGGGATGCATTTCGCACTTCCGGGGCCGGGGCTTCGGACTTTGGGGGAGGCAGCAATGGGCTTCGGGCTCTCAGAGATCTCTATGGCGGCTTCCCTGGGCGTGTGCGCAACGCTGGACAGTTTTCCTGGGGTCTTCTCAAGAGCAGTGGGTGTGCACAAGAGGACATCATCAGCAGCACCACCATGATCACTCTCTCCACATTTGGATGACTGCTCAAGCATTGCCAGTGTTTCCGAACGTTTGGGGGGAAGCGACGAAAGATCCTTGAGGCTGCATCTGCCATTGCCGGGCACCTGCTGACCACTGCTTGTTGCAATGGCAGGGGCACCTGCAGGAGATAAGAAGCAAGTGGGAAAAGAACCACCGCAACACCGCATATAATGTATATACAACCAGACTATGCTGAACCAATCTCTCAGGGGACCGTGTCAGTTTTTACATTACACTGCAGAGTTAAGAAAACCAGGCTGGGAAAAGAAACCGTGGTATGGGAATGGCCTGGCAGCATCTTCGGTACAGGAGCTGCAATTGTGCTTGCCAACTCTTTTTGGAGGTTTGCGATGTTGGCCTGCGCTGCCTTACCCAGAGGCAAACTACTCAGAGCTTTTGCAATAAGAACAGAAGCAGACAGCAATTACATCATTCGCAAATACCTTGCAGATGAAGCGCCGCAATCTCAGCATCAAGTTCAGCATCATCAGTTTCGGCTGCCGACATGTCAGACCAAGACTGAGCTACCATAGCAAGACCGTCGTGCAGGGTAGCTAGCGAAGCCATCCTCCCCCTAAGCTAGACTGGTAGCCATGAATGTTGGTGGACTCACACAGCAAGCCCCTAAGTCACAACCAGTTCTGACATGCTCCAGGAATGCGCACTGGCTGCAGCCACCCGAAAATTCTTTCCATGGAAGTAATGGCACCAGCTGTCTGTCCAGGCAGGCGCGGGGAAGCCAGATATACGCTTGCAAACTCAGAAAACGCGCGTGACTCCAGAAGAGTGCGCGTGACAAAACCCTACACATACGGATTTCTAGATTGCGCGAGAGTTGCTGGAAATTGCGCGAGAGTTGCGGAAAATTGCGCGAAAGTTGCGGTCCCCCAGTCATGAGCCCAGAGCACAAAACCAAAAAACGCGCGTGAGGCTTGAAAAGTGCGTGTGACAGATTCCTGGCACCAGCTTAGTCATCTTGGCTTCCCTACTACCCGCTTTCAAACCTTGGCCTTGGCCTGCCTACAGGTATGCCGCGCTGTCTACATCCATGGAAGGGGGCCTGGGGCTTATACTGGCCAAGGGCCAAGGTGTCTGCCTACTAGCCTTCTAGGCAGCTACTCAGAACCCTGCGCTGAGATCAGAGAATTGTACTCCTCCCTGAGCTCCTGGTGGCAGTTGACCTTAAATGTTCCAAGTCGGCAAGAATTACCTTAAGAAGGCATATGAATTTCCTGGACCAGTATTCAATGACCCTATTGAAACTTGTAAACAAATCTAGACACCTTGGCATTCAGTTCTTTCTCGAACTTGGCCATGGGGACTTCCCAGCAAGCTGGAATGACTAGATGTTTGTTCCGCCTCAAGTAGAAGTACACAGATGTTACCGAGGCATCATCCCAGGTGTCTCCCAGCTCCATATTCTGGAAGAGCTCCACATCTGACATTGCAGGGTCGGTAGGATTCTTGTTGCGCAGCACATTCTTGTGCGTATGGGCAGACTCATCCGTAAAGACTTCGAAGATCTGTCGCACGAAGGGCATTGGGTACACCCTCGGCTGAGCTTGTCTAAGATGGCTTTAAGCTACAGAGGTGAAAGTCATGTAGTACATGTTGGAAAGTACAGCTTTCGGCCAACTCACTCTTCAGCAAGCCCGTGAGAGTACTACCAAAAAATGCAGAAGCGAAACAAATCTAACCCAATAGAAAGTAGTTTAGAGCCTGTCATGGACTTCATAATTACTGCCGCACCCAGCAACCCAGCTTCCTTGAGGTCAGCGGTGCCCACAAAGCAATCGGCTCCGGAGCTGTTCTGATAACGTCCTGCAGCAGGCAAGCAGAGGGGTCCCAGGGCATTCCACGGCTATCCAGCTTAGGGACTAGAAATTTCAATAAAATGGCAGTAGGGGCCTGACCCAAAAATCGATGATTATATTGCAGCTAATGCTCGGGTCGTGCGAAGCTTTGTTTTGGACTTCTTGAGGACCTTCGATAGAATACCCCTGTCAAGAAGCTTCACCTTGGGGCTGCACGAAAAAACCTTCGTTCTTTTCGGCGAGGAAGCTCCCCAATGCATGAGCCAAAAAGCCTGGCTATACACCTGAGCTCCGTGGTTGTTTCTTCGAACTTCAGAACTATAGTGCTTTGATGCAGGGGCAAAACTTCTTCCAGCTTATAAGGGAGAGGCGCATAGAGCACACTGTTGCATAACCATTCGAACCTTTCGTGCTTGTGGATGAGCGAAGCCACTGGGTGCTCCAGTATCCATAAAGTGTGCATCGCAGACATGACAAGAATTGTCAATACCACCCTCAGATTTAGGGTTGTGAAATGCCCTGCACTTCAGGTTTCGAAACAACATGGGGGCTACGAGTATTTCATGGGACAGTCTTGGGAGAATATAATGTAGTGTAGCAAAACCTCCTAGGGAAAACCTACAACATTATCAAAAAGGCTTTGAGACTTGTCAAGTTTTCCAGTAGAAGCATTGGGGTCTATAAAGATTGTCAGTACAAACACCCAAGCGCATTGGACTTACCTGCAGCCAGAACACCGGCTGATCATCTGGTTTGCAACTGACACCGATTGCTGGCCCTCGAATCCTCTGAAATTCAAGAGGCTCCTCAAGCTCGTGCCACGATTAGGAATGCCCCAAGACGAGCATTGCGGTCCAAGCAAGTTCAGTGCTGTCACGCGCTCGCGTAATATACACCAAAGAACCAGCCTTAGACAAGCGTTCTTTACAGGGTTACAATCGGAATTTGGTCGATGGCCGTAGGTAAGACTCATGTCTTGACAAGGTGCGCATAGCCGGCATCAGATAAGAAATCCATGCACTGCCCATTCTGAATCTCAATTGTAGCCACCTTCTTTCCTTGGGATTTCCTTAGATGGGATACTACATGAGGATTTATGTCTGTAAACAAGACATCTACCTAGACTCCCGCTACTTTTTTGTATGAGGCATAAGGCCAGGCACCAAAACTTCGAAGCATTCCCCATTCCGGAGAAAAGGTCTAGCAGATCCAGACGCTTGGCCACGGGGAAATCGGTTGACCACAGTATCAGCAGCATTATTGCAATCAGGACCTGGGCGAATAGCATAGGGTTTAGGGAAATTGCAGTCATCATTTTAGGTACTTGTTCAAAAGCCAGCAAAGGAGCTTTGGGAGCACCAACATGAATCAAATGCACCAGTAGGGAAGAATCAGGAATCTGCGAACTCTTCATGGCAGCGCTGTGGAAAGAGCTGCGTCGCACGTATCATGCAATGTCTTGAACAGGCCACTTAGCTAGCTGAAGAATCTTGCAAGAACGCGCTCAGCTAAATGCCAATATACATGAGGTTGATTTGGGGACGTGTCTACTTGATCTTCCCTCTACGAATCATACTGCAGAAGCTTGAGTTCCTGACGCACACAAGAAAGTCGTTGACAAGTTCTTATGGCTCAGCCAACATGACAAAGCTTTCAGCAACCAGAGATGCACCCGCCTTGCGCAAGGGCTCTGCGAGCCCACGCCATAGGTCACCTGCAAGTCAGGCATCTAGATTTATTCCTATGGGGGAGTGGTCCATTTCATGCACTAATTTATTTTCCTCAAATCATTACTGCTTCGAAAATCTATAGGGCCTCCAATTCTCAAAGGACACATGTCTGAGAGCTGATTTGTTGCAGGCCACCTGGCCTTGGCATCTTCGAACGCGAAGTCCAGCTTCAAACGAATCGACCTGGCCAGAAGGGGCAGGCAGCTGGGTTTGGGGTTGTTGGGGGAAAAATTAACATCCTTCCTAGGGATCCTCTTGTATTTCTCATAGAAAGACAGCAGGGCCCCTACCAAGGAGGTCCAATTATCAGGGGATCATCAGGCCTCCAGGAACGCTTCAAGAATCCAAGAATGTAGCGGTAGCCCAGGATGTAGGTCCTGCAAAGGGCTGCTTTTTTAAAAGTAGGCCATGTGGGGAATGAAAGATATATTAATATGGCCTATTTTTCAAAACTATGCCTATCCAACCCACTTATCTCCACCTGAAACAGGAAATTGGCTCAGTCCTCCGAACTCTTCAAGAAGACAAGATATCCGGATGTAGCCACGTGATGACCTGGCAACATGTATGTAAGGAGGGTGAGGGGTTTGAATAGGGTATGTCAGGCATGAAGGAATTCTCAACACAGAACCCCCATAGGTATGAATTGTGGAAGACAAGATTGGTGACAATATATCTCCTAGGCGTGTATGTATGTGACTGTCTTTGCATTGTAGCTTATATCAATCCCTAGCACACATGAAAAAACGCGAGAAACAACTTTTTGCGGAGACATCATGGGTTGGCGACCAGCATCACCCCTAGCTAGTAGCACTCCCAAGTCAGCCGGAACATCACATGTCGCGCTGACATTCAGTGAAACATCTAAGTCGCAGAGAACGACGAAAGCTTTTGCTCATCATGGCCATTCAATCCTGCGCAGCATAAGCCTCGGGTGGGTCACAAACTTGCTAGTTTGGCAAAGTCCTTAAATGCACACACCATGAGGACACATATTCGTGAGTCTAGTGGCTG